TTCAACATCATGCAAAAATGCTACCACAGCTTCCCAGTTCCCAGAACCATGAAAATGAAAATGAATTCTGTCGAGAAAGAAAATAGAAAGGAAGCATTGGCCCAGTTGCAAAAACTAACCAACCCGGCCAAAAATTTATTACAAATTTCGCCCGGAACTTGTTTCCTTTGTGATTCTGGTTTCTCAAGTCCAAGCCCAGCCAAGCACTAATTAGAAGCATAGGTGAAATTTTATTTTATTTTTTTATCAAAATGCACATAAAAGGCATATACTCATAAAAATTTAAATCATTGTATTATACTTTTAACTAATCAATGTGCAAGGCAAATTTTCTTTTTTGCCTATTAATCCCTGAAAAGCAAAGTGTTATTCTAATCCAGTAACTGAGATGGGCTGCACCAATAGATAAATACGACTTGCCCAAAGCTCAGGAAACCGGGCAACAGTGACTAGCTGAAGCTCAGACCCAAATCCGACGAGTAAATTGGGAAAGTATTAAACGTGTTTCTAGAGCCCATTAACATCATTGTCACCCAAACAAATATTACGCAGGAATGACTGGAAAAAGTGAAAACTGGGAGCTCCGAGACTGGAATGAGGCGAGCAGGGAGACGGGATTTCTTCAAGGGTGGTTGCCCCTCTCTGCTTCTTAGCCTTTGATTTCTTTCTCTATCACGTTACAGCAAAACCAACATCCCTTCATCGTTTGAGAGAAGGGTTAATTACACTTAGCGCCCCTTTTTTTTTCGACTGAGTCGAACCAAACGGGCCCTTGTATTCATATTCCCTGGAAAACCTCCCAGGAGCTTTATTAGTTTGCGAGTTTAGGAAAGAAAAGAAAAGAAAGCATCAAAAAGGCTGTGATGATTACTTTTCATTCTCAGAATCGGAGCAAGTTTTTCTTTTGCAGGGTAATTTGAGGTGAACCGACCCGTATCTTGGCAGGGCAACCCTGATGGCCTGAAAATGGGGGATTCTTTCCCGTCTCCCTTTTGCATGCAACTGGGTTTTTGCAGCCATGGCGGTGTTTCTCTCCCTCTTTTGCTCTGATGAAAGATCTGAGCCATTTTCTTTGAGGCGAAATGAGGTAATCAGAGAGATTGGGATTTTCTTGAATTAAGGGTGGTTGCCCCTCTCTGTTTTGTAGTCTATGATATCTTAGTTGCATAAGTAAACAGCCCTTTGTGTTTTTTTGTTCAAGCGAGCGCTTTCGTGTAAAAGTTCTGAGCCAGTGTGCTTTTGATGTTGATGATGATGATGATGATGATGATGATGATGAACTCATAGTTGTTGTTGTTGTTGTTAGTGGTAGTGGTGGTGGTGGTGGTAGTAAGTGGTAACACTACAACGAAATGAGCAAAGAAAATGAGAGATGGAAAAAGAGGCTATGATGATGCTATCGTAGTAATATTTCTTACGAGGAAATGAACTAGCATTGATGGTATAACCTGACCCGTGTCCTGGCGGGGCAACTGGATGCAACTTTTGGTTTTGCAGCCATGGCGGTGTCACAGTTCACGTCGTCATCAATGCTTGATGAAATGCAAGTTCTGAGCCTTGTCTATGCTATTATATGCATTTCTACTTCTTGAGTTGGTTATTTTATACTTGTGAATGGAATGTGCAAGTATGGTGTTGTATTCCAATCTATATGGAAATAACCATTTACTACACAAAGTGGGTTCGAATACACGACCTTAAGTAATTAACTTTACTTCGTTAATCTTTCTTGATCAGAGGGTTCTATGGGAATTCCTCTTTCATCTCAAAGAATGAAAGAAATGAGGGCGCAGAGAGAGTTTTGGGGAGTTTCTAAGGGTGGTTGCCCCTATCTCTGCTATTTCCTGATGATTAGTTTGAAGAAAAATATAACAGCCCTAATCAAGCAAAAGCCAAAAAAAAAAAAAATAATAAATAAAAAGGAAAGGCATGACAAATGCCCTAGTACACTTTGGATGGTTGTCTGATCATCACCATTCGTCCGTCATCTTTTCTTTTCCTCTGTTAATATTGGCTGTGATGGTACATCTTCTCTTGAGTTGCAGATCAGGCATGATGCTAATGGGACCGTATCTTGGCAGGGCAACCCTGATGATATGGGATTTTCCCCACATGCAACAGCGTTTGCAGCCATGGCTGTTCCCCTTCCTCTTTGCCTGATTTTGCTGCTCTACATCTGAGCCTTTGTTTTGATACATGCGTGTATGTGTGAGTTTTGTCCAAGAAAGGTGTTTGTTGCAACTTCTTTTCTGTTCAAAGTTGCCCTGGCAGGACAAATATTGCTCTGGAATTATGGTAACCCTTGAATTGTTAATTTAGCTCAAAAATTGATGCACCAAAGAGATGGGACTTCTTAAGGGTGGTTGCCTCTCTCTGTTTTTAGCCTATGATCTCTTTCTTCATCACAAAGAAGCCAACAGCCATTGAGAGTTTAAAGCAAGGGTTAATTGCACTTACCACCCTTTTGTTACTGATGTGAACCAAAAGGCCCTCTTTATTCATACATCATGGAAAACTTCCAAGCCTCTAGTTTTCCAGTTTGAAAAAGAAATGAAAACATCAAAAAAGCTGTGATGATTATTTACTCTCCAAATGGAGCAAGTTTTTCTTTTGCAGGCATTTTGAGGTGATCCAGAACATATCTTGGCTGGGAAACCAGAATGATTCCAACAGAAGAGTCTGGTAAGTATCTCAGATTTGCAGCTGCGGGAGCATCTCTTGGTCTCATTGCCTGATCACAGACCAACGCTAGTCTGTCCTCGTAGTGACCAAAATTCATTTATCTTTCCTGATATGTATCTCTCTTTATCTAGACGAACTTTATTCTTGTACAGATTTGGGTGGAGCTGACGGGGTTACTCAGCTACTAGTAGTTTATCAACCTAAGTTGGGTGAACCTCAGTTAGATCCTCATTACCCATTCCTGTTGTTGCCTTAAACAGCAGTAGTGAAAATCAGGTTACTACTATTGCTGGCAAAATGTAAAGGGATGGTCCACTAGGAAGTATCTGATCCACAAAAATGAGGTTGTAATTATGCACTGCTAATAGCTAGTATTGATTCAGAAGATCAAATATTGGTCTTGGCTGGGAAACTCTTTTCTAGAAGTATTTTGATGTTTGGTGGTTCATAGGATATTGAATTATCAGCCATGTTGGTATTGTATTGGGTATCTCATATGCTTTGTGTCTCAACTTTGTTCTGAATATAATCCATCTTTAAATAAAAAAGAGCAAAGAAAGAGCAAAATTTTGTTCTGGTACTGCTTTTTCTTTAGTTCTATCGTTGTGTGAGCTTTGGTGCTCATCACTTTAGTCTATCTTTCCAAACGTACCCTACTTTTTTTTAACCTTTTGAGATGGATTCCTTCTGGACATGAATTGCAACAACATTGCCAGTTATGAAAACCATACCTTTTTAAGAAAGGGGATGGGAAAGATACCTTGGAAAGAAAAGGCCATTGGATAATAGGACAGGACTGAAATCCGCACTAGTATTGTGCCTTTGGGAAAACAGTATCAATCCCAAAAAAGGTGCAATGTCTTTGGCTATTTCTAGCATCAGCTGCTAACGCTGCAAGAGCTTCCTTGGCAGGTGCTGCATGAGCTTCTTTGTCTGTGTGGTCTAGAGGGGGCTTCTGCTGCTACTTTTGCTACGAGTTTGAGGGATGCATTTGTTGGATCTTATGCCCTGATCGTCCTCGCGTTGTTTTAGGGGTGGGGTATGTATCTACTAATATTCTTTGACTATGACTTTGAATAGTCCGTGGTTAGAAAAATAGCTCCAAGCAAAGGTTGTACCTATATTTGCTTCTTTTTTATGGTACAGGTTTGTGAATTTGCTTGTAATTGAATTTACAGCCCCCTTACATTATGGTATTAATTTGTTTTGGTAGTGGCGCATAGATTGCCGTAGATTATGATATCTGTGATCTCATGGACTAAATCATAGCTTCAGTTGCAGAGCTTCACATTAGACGTAGATTGCAGAGTTGTTTACTTAGAGATGCTTGCTGTTTATGCTCAAAATCACAGATTACAGGCTGAATAGTGTTAATTGATTATGGCAGTAATATGATGCTGAAAACAAGTAATCTTAAATAACAAATGCAAAATGTAAAAAAAAAAAAAATCACATCCAATGTTTAAAAACTTGGCAGTTTAAATATAGGGTATTGACCCAAGTTGAAGTACCAACTCCATAGTTTTTTCGTATTTTTGCTATAACCAAATATTATCTGTTTATTATCTGTTTATCTGTGTAGGCTAAAATATCGCAATAATCTAAAAAAGAAAAAGAAAATTTATGCATCTTACGATACACAGAATCAATTAATCAATAATAATATTTCCTAAAGGATGGAGTGCTGGACGCTTTTTAATGAGTGCCAATAACATCTGTCAAAAATAATCATTCCAATTTTAGGCATGTAAATGGGAAAATTCTATGATCCTGTTTTATCACCGTTCCCTCAACTTAAATACCACACTAAAGATAAATACTTTAAATTTTAAATATTTAATAATATTTAATTTAATTGTCAATAACACTTCATTTATCATTTAACAGTGAATTTTATTTGTAACTATAATATCCAAAAAAAAAAAGAGTAAAATCTCCCTACTTTATACGTGCTATTCTTCTTTTTTTTTTTTTTTTTTTTACTCAGAGGGTATCCGGGCTTTGGGTATGCCGGATCCGACTAATTCCCTGAGGTCCGAGTGGAGAGGTTCCATCTCCTCGAACCGATAACCACTGGGACTCGATCCCTGGTGGGGGAGAATGGACAACGCGACCTTAGGAGACTTCTCGTGATCAACCGAGCTGCCCAGGAGGGACTTATACGTGTTATTCGATATTGGACCGATCATTCATCATTATTCATTAACTATTGCTGATGAACAATACTTTATTTTCCTCAGAAAAAAAAACCATACTTTGTTTCCAAATTAGTAAACCCCGTCCCGTCACTCCCGTGCGACCCATGCATCACCTTCTAAATTACGCTCTTAGTCCATCAAAGTCAAACCAACTCGGGTAACAAACCGTGCCAGGTAATTAATTTGACCCAAAAAGGAAAAACCCTTTAAAACCCAAGTACTCACCCAAAGAAAGAGTTAATTTGACGCCAAGGTGTCTGCTCCGGGAGGCTAAGAACGAGGCAATGGAGAAAGATGGGAATTCTGTAAGGGTGGTTGCCCCTCTCCGTTCTGCCCATGACTTCTTTTTTTCATTTTCTTGAAAGAAAATGATAATAACCAACAACCCTTTAATCTTTAGTCTTTCTTTTGCTGTTTTCTGGGATAATTTCATAAACCTCCCCTGAGCTGTTTCTGTGGAGTACTACTACTGATTCTGATGATTCTAGTTCTACTCCATACCTTTATCAAGCGCCCCCTAATCCTTTGGAAGATCCTGAGTAGAAGAATAAGGCTGTGACGATCTTCGTCTTGTTAAATTCTCGGAGCAAGTCAGGCTTTGAGGCATGCTGACCCGTATCTTGGCGGGGCAACCCGGATGGCGTTGTGGTAAGGGTGCCAGAGGTTGGCTTTTCTTCCTTACACGCAGCAACCGGAGTTTGCAGCCATGGCGGTGTCACATTTTCTTTGCCTGATTCAATTACACAAATCTGAGCCTTCCACTCTGTTTTTTCACTCATTTTATCTGTTCATTCGTTGAGTGTGTTCAATTGGGAGCTAAAGTTTTGCTTCAGATGATTTAATTGTCAGTCAATTTTTTGATTTTTGGGTTGAGATAACTGTCGTTAAGATTCCTTTTGGCATGTCGTCAAATACGACATGAACAAAATTCAACCTTGATTTGGGATTTCCTGATTTTTATACGTGGTCAAAGCTTCAGTCCCTCCGGTTGGATGTGTTTTGGTAAACCACTTCTTTTGGTGATTAGTGAAGTTAGACCTTCTACATTTGTGGGCTTCTAGCTTAAACCTATCCTTTTGCAAAATCAGGCTTTTCTGTGTTGAGATTGTGGTTTTGCATGTTAGCAAATTTTATCTCCATTAATGTTGCTCTAAATTTGCTGTTGTCGTGGTCCTTCCCAATTTTATTTTGTATTTCAGTTTTTTTGTGAATGGTTCATTGTTGGAAATTAGCTCTTTGCAAAGTTTGTACTTGGAGAGTTTTCATTTCTTCAGTACAGGTTTGTGTATTTACTTGCAGTTGGGTTTTAAAAAAAAAAAAAAATCTTTTACTTAGTACTGTATCTTTAACATTGAATTTTGTATCTTTATGATGTCATGAGCTGAATCATGGCTTCAGTACCAGAAATTTCGCATAAGTTGCACAATTGTTGCGTAGAGATGCGTGCTGTTTATGTTCAAGCTCAGACAAATAGGAGGGTTAAATAATATGAGTGGAATATGAAACTTTGGTGCCTAAAACAATCAATCTTGAAGTACCAATGCAACATGTAAACATATACATCATATTTAAAAACTTGGCAGTTTCAGGATAGGGTAATGACCCATACTGAAGTACTAATGGTATTTTTCTCTTTAGAATTTTCACCTCATGAAGCTCTAAGCCATACAATAGGTTTTGTGTCATCACACAGTTCCATATTTTTTTTGTCTCTTGCTTAATCTCATCACCATTACACAAACCTCAAATATCAGAATGGTTTTGTTTGTCACTGGCCAAACAGTTTTTTGACTTACATTTCGCAGGAAAGAGAATTGATGTGTCTTACACACACAGTCAATTATTCAATATTAGGTGAATACCATCTAGAATCACTGGTATTATTACATGTGCTAATTTGGAGCTTGGTAGCGTTGGAGGTTAGAGTTTCAGAACACGACTCAGTCTTCACCTTTCCGAGATGGAAATGACCTTAAAGTACCATCAGAAATTTAGTCATTGTGGACTACAGCCAGATGTTGCAGCCCTCTTTTTTTTTTTTTTTTAATAATTCTGCAGCTTGTCTGTTTTATGTTCTGACGGTGGCAAGGAAGATTTTTTAGCTAACCAGGCTTTCATTTGCAAGCAGTACATGTGGTTAGCAAACTCAACTAGTTCAGGACAGAAGGTTTTCAAGAGGAAGAAAACTCGCCGCCATTTTGGTTCTGTCACATATCTTTCTTTCCTGCATATTGCAACCACAATTGATTTTGCACAAGCACTAGTACTCATGACTGGCAGCTGATTAATAAAAGTCTGCAAACATCCGCAACCACCGTTTACATTTGATGTCATTTAAGATTGCATTCTTGTGCTTAATAAAAGAAATTTGACATCTTTATTAGGTCCAGGTATCTTACACTTGCCGAATCTGAGTTTACTTGAGTGATTCCTTCTCTGTCGAGGTACTTCCCTTTGGACATCTCTGGCTCTATAACACCAAGAGTTGCAGTAGTTATGGAGATTTCTGGAGCCAGTTCAGCTCTCATTGTCTCGTAGATGCTGAGCAATGCTGCTTTGCTTGCCTAAAAAATCATTAGTGCAGTTTAAAAGTATTTACTGGTAGCGAAAGTGTTATCAGGCATTGAGTGCATTTGTGTTTCTAACAGCATAGATGCTAACTCCTGGTGGATTCAAATGTGAACCAGCTGATGCACTCACAAAAATCGACCCCTTCATTCTTTTCAGGTAAGGCATTGCAAAGTAAATCGGACAGACTGATTCCCAAAAGTTCACATCCTGTACCATTTGAATTAATGTCAAACTTGGTTGTGCGTGTATGTGGGCATATATACCAGAATCTTAAAAATTACGATAACCGGCTCAAATTCTGTAATATCAATAGCAGTTTCAATCAGGCACATAGAAGCAATTCCTGCATTGTTGACGAGATGGTCCACTACAAAGAGACTGATTGGATTTCTACTCGTATTTGTATCATAAAAGGTAGACGTTGAAAGACTCAAAACCAGATGGAAAATGCAATAATATACAGCAAGGAAGGCCGAAGAGAAAGGTGCCGAAGACATGGAAAATGCATGCATCAAACTGAAATTGTTGGAGATTGGAATGTACAGTACCTCCCCAATTCCTGATGATTCACCTGTGACAGTAGTTCCCTTGGATGCTTTCAACTGAAAAATAATCATAAAAATCGTCAGGATTTTTTAGATGTAGGAAAAAAGGTAGGAGAGTCCAAAGGAACATTAGGACGAGGAATCAGACGAATCATCAAAATAGAAAAACCATAGCTGAGGAAGGAGCAATGAGACTGTGGCTGGCTTGTGTGCCTCTTAGGTATTGGATTCAAAGCTGAACTGATCTCCCACTTATTACTCTTATACCTTTGTCTTTATACCTTTGTATTGCTTACAAAAGTTGACAAACAAATTGCTCCATTGGTTTTAGGAGGAAAACAGAAATGGATAACAGAAAAATGGAAGGCATCATGGCAGAGAAACCTAGCAGGTAAGTTATTATGTATTAGAGTTCAAGTGATTGTAATCAGTTCAACGATTAATGATGGTCCTTTTGCACTGATGAATATCAGTTTATGAGGGGATGATTCTGTATCAATATAGCTTCATGTGCCAGCATCTTGGAGACGGCATTATTAATTGAGTCCTAGTGTGGGAATCTATCGAACTCGTCTAATTGAATGAATGAAGGAGATGGGACGAAAGGATGCACTACCTAATTTGAAGGCTACTGAACTTTTTGAGCTAGAGGGGTACTATGATAATAAAACTTCTGTTAGCAAGATGTAGCAACATCTTGATCAGGCATTAAGTACATACATCTAGGTTTCTCACGGAGTTTTTTTTTTTTTGACAAGAGAACCTGCATCTGCTACTCGAGAGTGCGTATCGGGTAAAATCCGCCTCGTGTAATAGCCTACCAACCACACGGAGAGATACAACGCATTACGTTTCTCATGGAGTAGATACTGAATCCTGTTGTGTTCATAATTGGACTAGCTGATGCATTCACAAAAAATTAACCCCTTTGTCCTTACCTTTCAGGTAAGGCATAGCAAAGTAAGTCGGATAAACTGATCCCCAAAATTTTGTAATATCAGTAGCATCTTCAATCAGGCATATGGAACCAATTCCTGCATTATAGACGAGATGATCCACAGCTAAACAGAGATTGATTAGGCTTGTTCCATACTTCTACACGTAAAAAGGAAGACATTACAAACAAAAACCAGAATATAATATTAATACCGGAAATACTAATCTCTATTCATGCCAATCACTCTAGCTAGCTTATTACCATATGCTTATTAATTAGTATTATGTTAGAGATTAAATTATGTATAGTCTTTTGGGAAAATCGCCAATTTAGTCCCTAAACTTTTTTTTTCCGTCAATTTAGTCCCTATATATTATTTCTAGCCAATTGGATCCCTAAACCTATATATCGGTTCCAATCAAGGATCTTTGCAGCGGCGCCACCGTATAATTTCCATTAGGTTCATAATCGTGCAATACAAAAGGGGCATTTTAGGGAATTCCATTCTGGCGCCTTTTCCAATTAAAAAGTAAATCGATGTAAAGCCTAAATCTAGGTACTACCTCTCTTGCACCAAAGAGAGCTGTCCAATTTTTGCAGACCCGCGTAGAAAAAGCACTGTAATTCAATGCATTCGAGAAAGAATTGGGACAAAGCATCCTCAAGCTCAGCCAGTGATCAATTTATTAACACCGTCAAAGGATCAAATGGTTCAGAAACAGGAAACTCGATTTATGAAGGAAACGAGAAATACTACAGTGGAGACAACATCGTGCGATGCTATTGCCAAGAACAATGCCGAATTGTGACTGCTTGGACAGAGGCAAATCCATCAAGAAGGTTTCATGGTTGCAGAAATTATGGGGTAATTTTTTTGTATGTGCATAAAGTTTAGAATTTGTTAAAATATTTCTTGTCTTTTAACTATGAAATGGTGGTAAATGCAGAAACGTGGTGCTTGCAGATTTTTTTTGTGGTATGATCCACCCATACCCCAAAAGATGAAAAATATAATGGGTGCACTTTTAAGGGACCTGAGAAGTGTTGAGAGAGAAAACGCAGCATTATTGATTGAAATGAACAAGTTGAAGGCAAAAGTGAAAATATTGTTTATAATTTGTATCTGTTTTGGCGTTTTACTTGTTTTTGTACTTGGAGGCAAGGAAAGGAAGAAACAAGGTTTGCTGGAATTGAAGATGTTGCAGTAGTTTTGAAGAATGTATGGAATTGTATGGTTCATCTGTACTTTAAAATGAAGTAAATACAATTGAGTTTTCATCTATGTTTGACTCTGTTTTGCTTCTGGATTTGTTATTACTCTGTTTTGCATCTGGATTGCTCATGTAAGTTTCTGTGACAAGTTCAATGTTATGCTGACAATGTTGACTGAAGTGGAAGAATTGCAGAAGTGATGGCCATTAAAAAATTGGGTAAACAACAAAAAAGCCCCCTGTGGTTAGGCAATGATACATAAAAACCCCTTGTGGTTTCATATCATACCAGTCGATACCCCGTGGTTTGAATTAACCTGAAAAGTGGACGGAAATCGTCAAATATTCGGCGTGTGTCTTAAACGAACTGCAAAGGCGCGTGCATATGCGAAAAACAGATTTCCACCACAAACTTTCACCTGATATGCCTATTTTAGCCTTCACTCTTTAATAATAAGAGACCAGCTTCCGTTTCTTCTGAGTCTTCATTCAATCTGTTTCCAGATTATTCATTAACTACTGTAGACACCAAATTTTTAGTGTATTTTTATTTACTGTTATTTTTATTTTTCATGCTAGTTTTTATTTACTTTTAGTCTTTTATTTTTGTTTTAAGTCATTTTAGCATAGAATTTATTTTTTTTTTTAAAAAAAAAAGAGGGAAACCCGCAAGCGGGTTTCAGGCTATTTAACAAATTACTTTAAAAAAAAAATTTTTTTTTACATGCAAGCTGCGTTGAGTTGCACATGCCCATCGGAGGGCCCTAGGATGCCCAGCAAACCTCCCCTCTCATCCTCACCCTTCAGGTGAGGGTTTGAGAGTATGTGTTTGATATAAATAGAACAGAAACGCAGCTTTTAGTCATTTTACATAAGGGGGAAACCCGCAAGCGGGTTTCAGGCAGGCTATTTAACAAATTACTTAAAAAAAAAAAATTTACATGCAAGCTGCGTTCTTCAAAAGGGTATTTTCGTCTATTCACTCAGCTCCGTCTGTTTTGCCGATTTCCGTCCACTTTTCAGGTTAATTCAAACCACGGGGTATCGACTGGTATGATATGAAACCACAGGGGGCTTTTATGTATGATTGCTTAACCACAGGGGGCTTTTTTGTTGTTTACCCTAAAAAATTGTTGCTCAGTCGAGTCATTTGCTTTCTTATGCCCTCCGATTCCTTATTTAACACGATTTGCTTTGATTTTATTTAGCAGATCATCGACTCAAGCCCTGGATTTTGTCCAAGACATTTTTTGTTTTCATTTTGGATTTTTGGGTGTGTATTTATCGCAGACTTGTTTCGTTTACTTTTTAATTGGAAAAGGCGCCAGAATGGAATTCCCTAAAATGCCCCTTTTGTATTGCACGATTATGAACCTAATGGAAATTATACGGTGGCGCCGCTGCAAAGATCCTTGATTGGAACCGATATATAGGTTTAGGGATCCAATTGGCTAGAAATAATATATAGGGACTAAATTGACGAAAAAAAAAAGTTTAGGGACTAAATTGACGATTTTCCCTAGTCTTTTTGGACATTATATAAAATATTATATGATATCCCACCAACTGGATTTGGGTTCGGGGAGGCCCAAAATTAGGGTTGCCTCGAACTCGTGGTAAGAGAAACAGTAAAAGGGCTCCAGGCTTTGAGCCCTTGACCCATCCAACAATCAAGAATGGGGTTTGACAGGGAAGAGTATCCTTATGGAGTATTATATATCTAACCCCTCATCCAACGATGCTTTAACATTTTCAGCTCTCTAAGAAAATGAGGCGAACAGAGGGATTGGGATTTCTGTGAGGGTGGTTGCCCATCTCTGTTTCTCTGCCTGTGATTTCTTCTCGCTCTTTTGAAAACCAACAGCCCTTCTTCGTGGAACAGTTCTTTTCTCAGCTAATGACTTTAATACTCCCATGTGACTTTCCTGCGAACCAAACGGAGCCTTAATGATCTCTAACGTCTTGCTTCTTCTTCTTGACATGACTGACCCTTGTACTTCTTCTTCTTCTTCTTCTTCTTCATCTGCTTCTAAGGCAACAAGAGGGCTGTGATGATTTAACTTGTAGAGCAAATGGTCAGTGTGTTTGAGGCAAATCCGACCCGTATCTTGGTTGGGCAACCCGGATGGCAAATGTGAGGGAGAGGGGGAGAGGAGGGGTTTGAGAGGATCCATCCCTCTTTCTGGGGTTGGGTCCTCTGTCTGTTTTAATTTTCAGTGTTTCCCTCACGTCACGTTGCAACCGGTGTTGCAGCCATGGCGGCGTCACTTTCTGTTTCCCTGACCTAATTTAGACATATCTGAGCCTTAAAACTTCAAAAGTGTCCGGTAACAGCTTAGGAAAATGCTGTATAAAACGTTGGTTTTTGTTATTGGTTGATTTTGCATTTTTAGGTTGTTTCGCCTCTCCCTTTTAAGCTTTGGATATATTAGAGTCAGGTTAATGTGGAGTTAGAGGTCTCAGCTTTTACTAGCTAGGTAGTAGTAACTGGTAAGAAGGAATACTTACACTGGCCATGTTAAGCAACGATCCACTATTCAACATGTCATTTTGTCAGGTCAAGATAGTAATATGAAAGTTCTGATCCATTGAAGAGTATTCTTGCAAAATCAGGTGCTGATGAGCAATTGGATACCACTGCAAAATATTACCACTACTTTGGCCTTGAATCTAATTTGTGGAATACCCTTCTGGAATGTTTCGAAAGTGTACCATTCCCTTGATTTACATCATCATGCTAAGTAGCTAAAGTTGTTGCTACTCACCCGATGCGCTAGTATAAAGTTGCTTTGGTAAGATTTTTAAGTGTTTTGATACCATTTTGAGGTTGGTTACTTTGTAGTAAAAAAAATATTGCTGCTGTTATTTTGAATCTCTCTGGTTTGACTGGTTGCCATTTTTTAAAAGAGCAGAGGGAGATTGTCAGAAAAATAGGAGAATCTTATCAGGAACAAGTTAACAGGCGTTTCCTGGGGTTTATGATAATTAGTGGTAGTTCCCCTTTGTGCGATGTTTCAAGTTTCCTTCCTTTGTCCTATCACCTGACTATTTTTCAGTGAAAGATGAAACAAAAATTCTAGCAGCCATCTCATCCCAGAAAAAAAAAGACTAGCAGCCACTGCACCTCACGCTCGCCCAAGTCTTCTCCTTCTTGGCGTCTATATAATTGAAATTCAATTCCCAAATGAAGAATCCAAACAAAGTAAATCATCTAACTTGAAACCATTTTTATCAAATTGTAGTTTTAGAATGAAGCATGATGACCTGATTTGAACAACGGGATGGTTAGTGTCTGTGAACTGTTTAAAGATGTCAGCTTTCGTGTTATGAATCTTCCACCTCTGTTCTCTCTATATGATCTAATATAAGCTGTTACGCTGATGAATATCCATGAAAAACAATGTCCCAAAACAGACACTTAATTTGCATGTTTCGTGACGCAAAAATAGAACCAATTGCCGACTCCAACGACAATGATCACCGGCTTTTCATGGCTTGTGCTGGGATGATGACTTCATTAGGAAAAAGATTATCTAGAGTTTGCACGCTACAGCCAAAAACTGCAGCTAGTCTGATTTACTTTGTGAACGAGGAGGCACTGGAGTAGCCTTTGCTCCCCAGGATTTTATCTTCAAGCAGTGTTGGTAGCTAGCCCATTCAATTAGTTCAGGACATAATATCTTCAGCAGGAATAGGACCTTGCACCATTTGGGTACTGTCACATATCTTTCTTTCCGGCATACCGAGTCCACCATTGCTTTTGCACAATCAGGGGAGCTCACGGCTGGCAGCTGATCAGCATCTAAAAAAACCTGCACAAAAACATAATCACCACAATATTCAATGAATTGCTCATTTTAGATGAACTTCTCTTTTTGATTATATTGTTGAAGTACCTAATTACCCAAGAGAACTTTCAAACTTTTTATAAACTATATGATCAGATGTCTTACATTTACCAACTCTGAGTCAAATTCTGTAGTTCCATGCTTGGTCATGTGTTTCCCTTTGGTAATCTCTGACTCTACAGGACCAAGAGTTGCAATTGTTATAGAGATTTCAGAAGCTAGTTCAACTCTCATCGTCTCGTAGAAGCTGACCAAAGCCGCTTTACTTGCCTGAAAAATCAATTATATACTACGACATTTTCGAACAGTTTACCTGAAAAGAAAGCCAAATACGTCCAGAACAGAATAAGCTCATGCAAAGTATCTTACAGAATAGATGCTCAATCCTGGTGGGCTCAAAACTGCAGCTGATGATGCATTAACCAAGATGGATCCCTTGGACCTTTTCAGGTGAGGAATTGCAAAGTAAGTCGGATAAACTGATCCCCAGAAGTTCACATCCTGAAAATTCGAAGTACATGGAACTTGGTTTAATAGATTGATTCCTACACTCTCTAAACAGTCAACTCATGACGGTTAATTACCATAACAGGTTGGAGGTTTGTAATGTCAGCTGCATCTTCAATTAAGCACATGGAGACAATTCCGGCATTATTGACAACATGATCCACTGCAAATAAACTGATTAGTGATTAGGCTCTTTTGTAAAACTCTATACGCTTCTTGCAAAAGTTGGTGATGGAAATACTTACATCTGCCAAAATGGTCAACTGTTTCCTCAACAAATCTCTTGCAGTCATCGACCTTGAGTACATCTGCACATATGGGGACAACGTCCGGCGAGCCAAGTTTCCGGGCATTTTCTGCCACCTCCTTGAGGAGATTCTCCCTCCTGGCAACAATAACTAGACAAGCTCCTCTTTTGGCATATTCATATGTCAAGTGCTGCATCCATATGAATATTCATCATTCTTCTAGAACTTGATGGGATGGTAAATGGTAATCACAAATGATCAAGAGCGACCGAAATGGAACCGTGAGAACAAAATCATGGATTTGAACGTACCTCTCCAATTCCTGATGATGCACCTGTGATTAGAACTACTTTTCCCTTGATGTCTTCGGTTGAAAAGTATCTGTAGAAAAACA